CGGTGGCGAGTTTGCATCCGAGGGAAAGAGAAAAGAGTACCCACGATGATGAAGAAGGAAAAGTTGGAAAGAAAATGAAAAGCGCTGGAGTGCTGAACACATATAGTAGGGAAGGATAAAAGATACGAGAGAAAGATGGAACGGGAAAGTTAAGATGCGCGAGTCTGACACATGTGTTTAGGAACGTGTGATTTTTCTATCATGTCGTAGGTACAATAATAGTTATGTATTACTCAATGTGGATTGTAATAAGCACCAGAAGAAAAAAATGTGACCAACAAAACTATCTTATACGAATTAAATCATGATTTTGTTGGTATACCTAGTTTTGAAAATTTCATTGACTGCGGGCTATTGTCAAGTTAAACGATTTTCTAGGAAGAAAAAAAAAAGGTTTTATCCTATACATACGCAACTCTTTTTCTTAAAGAAGATTGCTTTCTTACAGAAAGTGGATTTTTACAATTAAGTAAAGAAGGGACGCGTTTCCCGAGAAAGAATAAATGAGAGTGGGTTTATGTATATATTATGTCCGCGTGTAATGCTAGAAGACAGAGAAAAGCTTTTCCCACTTGGCGGAGTATATTAGGGATCTCAAAAATAATGCGCCCGCTCAGCTTTCGCCTAATTAAATGTATAGTCGTTGGAGAGAAGTAGAAATGCCTGTCGTCCTTTGCATTACGGTGTGCACACTTGGTATTCATAAGCGGTAACAGTAACAAATCGAGGTTTATAACAAATTGACAATGCCTTTTCATTGTATCTTTTTATGAGTTAATTATGAGTTTTTATGCACCAAATAGTCTGTGATTTAGGATTAGTAATTTTAAATGAGTTCTATACATACAAACAGGTACAAATCTTCCACAGGTAATTGAAGATGGATTTTTTTCATTTTTCTGCCACCGTAGACTAGTTATCCCTAACCATCCCATCATTTTTCCTTAAAAAAAGTCACGATGNAGTGGTTACAATTTTTTTCAGACTAAAATAAAAAGTTTCCCAGTTTATTGATACCTATAAATAAATTTATTTGACCTAGCAATTTTTTTATTTTTTAATGTAGTGGACCAGGTAATTTTGTGTAGTATATTTTTACTTACGATTATATTGACAACAAAATAATTTTTTCAGATTTATCACTCACCTCTATAAAAATTATCAAAGTTCAGTGTATTTTTTAAAAATAAATCAAAGAAAATAGAGAAGATGATTATTGAATAATGTACAGTTTGAGTCTTTATTTGCTATCACAATAAAATAATTAATAACAAATTAGAATACTTAGACATTTTTCAATGAAAATAAAAATAACTCGTTACTAGTACGCCAGACACAAAACATTTCATCTCACGACTTTTCCATGCAGCCATCAGCTGCAAACATCAATCCAGCACACCTTCACTTCATGGCCTCGCTTTAAAAGGTAAAAGGCATCAGCTCTCACGACAGTAGCGCGTCTGGAGTGACAGGTTGCATCAAGCCGTCCTCGGCTCGGGAAAACGGCTATCAGGAGCGCATGCAGCCTCCGAGGATGTACCGAGCGTAGCAGTGCGCGGACGCGCGAGAGAAAACAGCGCGAGATATAAAAGATCCGCGATCTATACCCAGTAGATATATTCATACAGTCCGAAGAAGGGGTAGTTGTAGTGGTCGACACAGTAACAGAGTAGTTCAACCGAGGGACAGGCTTTTTGTGGTTACGCTAATTAAGAATTGATTCAGCTAGGCACACGCGTTTAAAAACCGCGCCTCCATGTTTTATCACTCGCGCTTATCATACAGTCACGAACAATATGCACGGATATTATGGAAACTACGTTTTTAAGCCAATGAGAACCTGTTTCTCTCTCATTTATACGGAGCACAGCAAAACATATTTTTTATTCTGATCTCTCCGACTTTTCCCCACTGGAAAATATTTCAATGCCTACGCTGAATGTTGGTGCGGCTAGGTCCCTCTCTATTTTATCGAGCATCTCCTGTCCATCCCCGTAACTTATTTCTTCCCTCTACCTGATATGTAATAATTTTTTACTTGAAGTTTTTTTTCATTTACGGCTCTTCGGTTTAGGAGTGCACCCAAGATATTTTGAGTTAAGATTATGTGAAATTGAAAATTTTCGTTCGATTTCTATTATATTTAAGCTTGATTATATTGCTGGTGATAGCAGTTTTTCAAGTAACAATTTTGAAAATAAAATGATTGATGCTAGATATATTGACACATACCTAGTAAAGAATTTTTAAATCCATTCTACTTAAAGATTGTATAATTTTTATTAATAGGCTAGAAAATGGTACAAAAAACTTTTTTCAATAACTTGTGAACAGTGGTTACACATGGAAAAGATGATTTATTTTGCAGCGTTGATAGTGGTATTATGTAGTATGGCACTTCTCATTTTAGCAAAAATCTAAGGCATTTCAGCACAACAGTCTTGTTTTAAGATAAAAACTTGATATTCTACCCCGTTAAAATCTAAATTTTGTATTGATTTTTGTACTTTTACAACGAAAGTATGGTAAAACATAAAGCTTCACCAGGTAAGTAAATGGATGGCTAGTTTATTTTTTAGCCTAGGTACATTGTATACTAAATGTTTCTCTCACAAATAAGTCAATTCAAGGACTTGTAACATGGATAATTCGTTCTGAAGCTCTGAGTAATAAAAAGCTCTGTAGAATCTGTAGCCCATAAAGTTAAGCAAGCTTTTTATCAAGCTCCTTGGCATTCTCATGAACTTGCTTGCCTAATTAACGAGCGGTCAATGATTCATGACCCTGTTTCTCACTAGATTTTTAAACGCAACTAACCCATCTTATGACCTTATTTTTCATAGAATCATACAAACACAAGCGTGGTCAGAGTTTGAAGAGAATGGCGTACAAATAAATAGAAGTTTGCGTCCACTTCTTGGAGCTTGGCCCCAATAGCCGCAAACTGAGGAGAAAACACTTTATACGCTAGCACGTATTTCTTGGCGTAAGAATCTTAGGTATATAGAAATAGCAGGAAGTACGCTGGAGAGCGAAAAAGTGCGGCGATATTGCTGTGGCCGGCTCCTAAGCACCAGGATTAAGTGCTACGTAAATTCATGCTCTCCCTTCGTATGCTTGGGGCTTCCTCTTCTTCTTTCTTGGTATATATTATCTTTTTGCTTTATTTTGGACTGCAGATTCATAGTTTTTATTTCCGTATGCAAGGATAAAAAAATTACTGATTTAAAAAATTGTATTAATTTGTAATTCTACCTACTCGATCTAACCATAATATTACTTCTGGATTCATTATTGGGCTGCTGTAGTAGAAAAATTTTAATTGGTTTCAACTATAGATTCATTTTTATGATGACAGCTGTTGCATGTAAGCCGCTTTTATTAAAAGATGTATTATATTATCCCTAATCGATACTTTTTCTATTGATTCTAATACTGAAAATTCATTCTTAGATAAGTGGAAACTGATATGGGAATCTGTTCAAATGTATCTACGTTCTCTTTTGTTCTTATATCAATGCGTTACTATGGTTGAGCTTTTCATTCCCTGCACTCCATACATTTTTTATTATTATTCGTTTATTTTACAATTCTACATTTATTTCTGTATTTCTGTTATACTTTCTTGGATGATAAATTTAATATTAACCGTAAAATGCGTTTGATGTTTTTAAATAAAACTTTTAAGCTTTGGAAAGACACTAAGGTGCTTGAAGTATGAATCTGAAACAAATTAATTTGTTTTTAATGTTGTAAAAACAATTGTGTTACTTTTAATGCATAAAAAATTTATTTTCTTTTTTATTTATTTTTTTTTTTTGAAGAAATCACTTATGAAGGGCTTATAAATAATGGCGGCTGTTGGCCACATACTTTTCCTCGATCCACTGTTTGGTCGGGGACATATTATGTCAATGGTGCCATCTTGTGGAACTTCCTTCACAGATTTATCCGTCGATAAGCTCACCAGCTATAGTTTTTGATACTTCTCTTACCATGTCTTAATTTTTTTTAGCAAAATTTAAAAATGTACAAAATGGATTGACCTAATTTATAAATTTATAGAAATTTTTGTATTAGAAGAACTTTAAAAATTCTTTCAAAAAAGTTAAATTTTATCAACAGTTTAAAAAAATTAATCACAATAATAGTTTTCGTCACAGAAGCACCATCACCACCGGGGCTATTTTTTGGAAGGGTAGCCCTGGTTGGATGGTGCTTATGTGATGAATATTATGTTTCTTACCGAGGAAGAAGTAAACGTTCTAATGTCATGAAAATCACCCCAAGATTGGCAAAAATAATAATTTTCTTACCTCGGGCATTGACTGTACCCTCAGTAGAAAAAATAGAGTTCGTTACTAGTACTGTTTTTTGGATGTTTAGCAACAATTACGAATTAAATATGAACGCCACCAATTGTCAAATCAATAATTATAAATTTGAAGTCTACAAAACATGTCATCTTTAATCGATAAAAGTATATAAAAAAGTTTTAAAAATGGAAAACTTTTTTCGTATGATAGTCAAGTATACCAAAAAATAGTCATACTTGTATTTATTAAGTTTTTTTTTCTGTGATATTTTTGGGGCATAATTATTATATCTGCAAATCAAATATTATAGTGAAAATACTTGTTTTTAATGGTGTACTATAGCAAAAATGTTGGACATGTTTTCATCCTGGATAAAATCCATCAAAATGTATCTCGAGAGATTTTAAATAAGAACTTTCAGACAATGATGATTCGATTGAGTCTAAACACTTGATTACGTGAGCACTTACATACACCAAGGGGCCATTTTTACATCTAAATTAGTATTTCTATAAGTGGTTACAATTTTTTTCAGACTAAAATAAAAAGTTTCCCAGTTTATTGATACCTATAAATAAATTTATTTGACCTAGCAATTTTTTTATTTTTTAATGTAGTGGACCACGAAAAAATTACTGAGAACATTTTTTTTATTTCAGACCACTAACAATAATTTCATAAAGTCATTAAATTAATAATTTAACGACATATTAATATTAATAATATTTCATTATATCCTTGAATTTCTTGGCCTTACATAAAAATTGAAGTATAATTACATCCATACATATGGTATATAGTAATGATACATGTCGTTAACAAATAATGAGAAAACATGTTGTTTTGTCATATTTGTACATAATTAAATACAGGCAACAACAACCCCCATTAACATTTTATTCGATATATGAAAAACAACCACCCACGCATACAGTAAGTTTTACAACCTGTAAATATCAAAGAAGTAAACAAAATAAATCCTTGTCCTCGAACGAGGATATAAATTCGTTCTTCAATCTTACCTCGTACAACGTTAAAACAATACAAACAATAAAAAAAATATCACTTCACTTTGAAAGCATCCACTAAATTATCACACCATAGTCACTTGTATATTAAAAGAAAGTTCATAAGAAGCGTCTTTTCGCGCGCAAAATCTGATTTCCACTGATGTGTCAGCTGAAATAAAAAAATACAAACTGCTGGTTAAATGTAGAAATTCACATCTGCATTTGCTTGTAAAAAAGGAACGGATTTTGAATGAGACAGGTCACTGTGTCCTGTTGAGCGTAGTAGGGAATCGACGGCTCCCGACCCAATGATGACGCCCATCGTCTTTCCATCTCGCAGGCACACTCCATCGAGAATACCGCGGGTGCTGACGGGTCGTCATGGGCCGTATGTCATAACTGACTCAAACTGGGACATCCATTGCTGAGACGGAACTCGACGTACATCATACCGGTATTGTGCCAGTAATACAGAGCTGCGACTACCAGTATGTGCCACCACTGATGGGAGGAGCCGATAAAGTCGACCCAGCCTATATACGCACGAGTGAAAGATTTCATCAGTCAATTACTTGTACTAACTGGGTACCCAGTACCCATCAATTCTGTCACCTTATAGTAAAAAAAAAAAAAAAAAAAAAAAAAAAAAAAAAAAAAAAAATTGATCCACTCGTACCTGGACATAGCCGCTCCGGCATTTTACTAAAGTAAATGAGAAATGCCAAGCCACTGATAAGGTACATGCCAAGTACACGCGGTAGCAGTAGATTGACCACCGGATTCTGTATACCACCCATAGCAACGGTCCAATGTAAAGTCGGCAAAACACCATAGAGTGCCCAGCCTACGAACACCGCAAGCTTGATGTGCTCGTTGATCTGATAGCGCGGCAGCTGCACCAGCATAGCAACAATGAATATTGCCAGCACCGTAACAAGATAAAAGCGCTGAAGGAGCTGTGAAGAATTTGATTTGCGATGCAAAGGTTTTAGTTACTGAAACTATAAGTATTTTGACTTCAAATGATAAAAAGAGATGATACCTTATGACACCAGAACGCATAATAAACTCCAGACATGTAAATCGCCAGTAGACTGAGGGCGACTCCGAGTAGATCGTACGATAGGAAGTACCAGTAGTCTTTCTCGCTTCGGCAAGAGAATGTGTGGTACACTGACGAGAGTATCATACACGCCTGAGGTGAAGCAGAATCGCAATTAATAAATACACTAGTACAATGCTTATCAAGCAGAGTAAAAAATTAAATTTCATCCGAAACTTACTTGGAAACAAACCAAAAGTAGAGCGCAAAGTACTTTGTCCCCAAACGGTGCGGTGATGTTCACCAAATAGAGATCGTAGAAGGTCAGGCAGCAAAACAGAACAAAGCCAAATATGTGACTCCAAATGTTAATCGTTTCGTTTGTCCACCAGAATATGCTGCAAACGTAGATAAAAAAATTTGAATGCTATCAAAATTATCTTTCAACGCTCGCTCGACTGACCTCTCAATGCACAGTTTCGTCGTCAAGTACCCCCTGTAACCTTTGAGAATGTAGGGATTAAACCGCAAGTACTCGGGGGCTAAGTGGAAGGGCAGGAGTATCCTCATACGGGCCTCATCTTCTGGAGTGATTGGATTTTTGATGGGTGATTCGGCCAACTGTTGGGGTCGATCGAACAGCTGCAATAATAAAAAATGTCTTTGTTCATTTTTTTAATGACTAAAACTATATTATCAAAAATATGCATGAAAATTTACACTTTCCAGCACATTTGGACAATACCAGAATAAGTCTGGCTCCTTTTCAATCAACGTCCACTCACCAATGAGCTCCTTTCCCTCCTTACAAACGCAACACACACACATATACCTCAACATCTCACATTTTCTCAACAATCAAGTAGGCATCAGCACACGATCTTTCCCTGCCAACTGACCGATTAAGCGAAAGAGAAAGAAAAAGTGAAGACACAGCTCTTGCCGACCTACATATACAGTTCTACTATTGGTGCATCTTGTCCTTGTTGCCACCGGCTGATTACCTGGCTTCGCCGTAAAGTACACAGGTGCAGTAGCGAATGAATTGTGCATATATATATATATATATATATATATAGGACATATTATGTCAATGGTGCCATCTTGTGGAACTTCCTTCACAGATTTATCCGTCGATAAGCTCACCAGCTATAGTTTTTGATACTTCTCTTACCATGTCTTAATTTTTTTTAGCAAAATTTAAAAATGTACAAAATGGATTGACCTAATTTATAAATTTATAGAAATTTTTGTATTAGAAGAACTTTAAAAATTCTTTCAAAAAAGTTAAATNTATATATATATATATACTTGTGAAAGATGGAAAAATTGTAAGTTTCGTTTCCTGTGGATCGGTTCACGAGCACGTATCTACGTGATTACACTATTCGCGCGCTTCCGTAAAATCCATTAAAGATACAGTATTATAGTTCTGAGGGGAGTGTATTCTTCGAAGATTATATAGGTCGCACAAGTATTTTCTGAAATTTATTATCCTCAAGGTTTTATTTTTACTTCTTAATCATATTTTTATCAAGTAAAAAAAAAAAAAAATAAAAATAAAAATAAAAACATTAAAGGTAAAAATGATCTCGCTAAGAGAGCGTCACGGAAACTCGATGAGTTTTTTAAAGAGCAAAAAGCGTTGAGCATCGACAAAAAAAGTGCATTTAAACTCACGCTGCGAGCTTTTATTTTCCATGTAATAAACTTCATGCCGCCAGAAAGTTGTATCGACTACAACTTACGACAGTAGCTTTGAATAATGAATACTTGATTCTCTTGAGCGACTCTCATTCATATTAAAGGCATCGGAAGACGCTTTTATTATACTTGCGACTTATAATATATGCCCAACTTACCTACGTAGCAGAGTCGGGAACTTAATTGGTTTTCGTGTATTTAATTCATACGCGTGTGACATGCTTTTTTTTTATTCGACGTTAATGAACAAAAGCATGTGTATAGGATATTATTCCACTATCACGTAACGCAATCTGTACGTATGATATAGTAAACAAAGCAACAGCTCGTGCTCGTAAATTTTATGTCGATGTATACTTTTGTTTCTCTACGATTTGTTACGTTTAAGTAACCTCTTGTAGTAAGAGAAGAAACAATTTCGTATCTACCTGTATTGTCGATACATCTATTTTTTCGTTTAATATCAAGTTTAAAAAATGATTATCAAAAACATTGTATCTACCAAAAATACGCGCACAGTTACACGCATAAATAATACAAATACAGAAATTTAATGTCCCGATTCAGTGATTCTTGGCGTAAGAATAATAAACAATACCAGTTAGTTTTGCGTCATGTATGAATGAAATTTAACAAAAAAAGATTCCATGTTTGTAAAAAATGAAAACTGGTGCTGACTTATCACTCAGCTTTGGATAACTTGTACAGTTTTCACTTGTCAAAAAAGAAGTCGTAATTTGCAAGTACTGATAATTTCTCAAAAATGCAAGCATCTATTGCTCCGTGTACTATAGTATAACGTGGCGTGGGAGAAAAAAAATGGTAAAAATCGGTCCGGCGAAATCGAAGGTATGGGCACAGGCATCCGATTGCAGGCGCGGAAGAAGAAAGAGAAGATATTCGCGATCGGCTCATCTGATAAGTATTGCCACAGAGTATACAGGTACACAGGTAGATCCAAAGAGAGAAAGCAGCAAGTGGGTCACAACGGGACATGTCTCCGTCCTCTCTCCTCTGCGTTTTGCACGTGTACACGTGTGTGTGCCACGTTCCAGCGATCTCCGGCTCGTATTAATCCTCGGCCACCGCGGGATTTCGAATTTTTTCGGATCGTAATCACGCGGTATACTTACAGGATCTTTTACTTATCAGAGGCTGATTATTATTAAGCCGTGTGGTGTAGCAAAAGCGAATGAGGACCTGTTTATGTGTCAACCGGCTTGTCTACGAGTTTCCCATCCAAGAAACGCTGATACTTATCAATCAGATGCACACGAAAGTGATGATTTTCAAGCTGATAATAAACATGATGAGAGAAATGCATCCGATTGATTTTTTGTTGCAAAACTAATTGAACGGGCTTGATTTATTGCTTGCAATAAGATACGCCTAGTAGAAGATTCATTGTACAAGAGCAACCGGGAAGAATACAAATACAGAAGCGGTGCAGTTAGTCTCGATGATTTTTCAAATCATCTTCGGCCAGAGGACAACGTAACGAGCTTTTGTCATTATTTTCACTTTCACTGTAAGGTCCCTTGCGAACCTTGCCGACGCGAATGCCGTTAATCACCAAAAAATAAGGTTTCGCACTTTCTCCGCTAATGTGCGCGCTAACCGCTAAAGTTTTACTCTGGTCACTGAGTGTTATATACACATACATACGTCCTATTTACAAATGGTGACTTGCGAAACTTTCATTTTCCACCAATAAATTAGTTACTCCAACGGGATTTGTTTACAACGTTTTAGTTTGAAAATATACTTCTTTTGTGAGTTTTATTTCAACTTTGTGATTGAGTTAATCAAGAAAATATGAAATGCCCGAACTACATGTACTGTACATCATTCAATCGCTCCTCAGAGTTGGATAATATACACGTACGCTTCAGATGATGGTCATGATTTCTTTTTTTCATACGTACACGTTGTAAAGGAGGAAGCGCAACGAACAAAGCGTAACCACTGTAGCAGTATAACCCATTAAGCAATAGATGCGTATCCAAGTACATACACACACGCACGAGAATTTGAGTTGGTTGCATGAGGAGAAAACGCGTCAGAGAAAATACACGCTACGTGTACCATTTTGGCTAATATACTCGATGCTGAATCGGTATATTGTTTCATTTCGATCGTGAATCGTGACGCCAGATATTTTTTATTTCGTCTGGAAGCGCACTCTCGAGTTTCGATTAAATATCTTATCGGGTCGGGATAGGCACTTTAGGTAATTTAATATTCTTGATATAATTCAAAATTATTCAATTTTTAATGCTAAGCAGTGACTAATGGATTATTTTACTGTGATTTTTAAAATGAGATTTTTGAGTAATAAGGTACAGACTATAGTTGGTCATATCATTTTTTTATGTATTTGAGACAGACGCAGTAACGATAAACTTGATCATTAATAATTTTTGGTAAACTTTGATCTTCCGAGTACCGATAACCTCGTAATGTATAGTATGATCGTGATGTTGCTAATTAAATTAACGCTTTTCTTTTACATTCATTTCTCGGGATTTGTAACACACAACCAATGTTCAATGAACTCACCTCCTTTATACCTTCCTTGTCTACCTTTACTTCTTCGAACGACTGCGGCTTCTCATTTGCATTGTTATTGTGCACATGATGCTCGTTGATGTTGGCTATTGTTATTGTTTTGTCGCTGATTTGCTCGACGCCTGCCAGTATTTTCATCATTGGATAGGCCGCCAAGTGACTGCGCATCTGAAATGTGTTTTTTTTTTTTTTTTTTTTTTTTTTTTAAACTCTTATTGTTTCGGTGTTTGACGAAAAAAATTATCGATACATAAAATGAAGATCCTTCAATGAGAATGTGGAATGTGTGGGATGACTTAAAAAGTACTGCAATCGATGTGTGTCAAAACAATGTACGTCACGGTGACTTTGATTAAGGTTAATATTGAACTGAAATCTTTTTTAAAATAAAAGACTAGTTTTCAAACTATAGTTTTACCAGCACTGAATAAATCTCGCTGACACAATGTGTACACATCGTCTACATGATTTTTCTATTGTTTTTTTTTACATTTTGAAAAAATTTTGTATTTCCAAATTATAAAATTAAGCCTTGATCTTTTAGAAATCTATTGAGAGCTAAAAGCTATACAGTTTGATTACTCCGTAACAACCGAAACATTGCCTCAATATCACGAGCTTTACAGTACGTACTTACCGGTTCGACTAGTCAAACGCGTAAGAAATGTTAAGGCCAGAGTTTACAACACTGATCCATTTTATTTCTAAAGTTTCGACACGATCTTCAAACCATACGTTCAATCTTGAGGATATTGTGAAAAAAACTGTCGACATTACGAAAACCTTTTATAGACTGTATTATAAACCAAGTATATGTAAGTTTTCTCATTACAATATGAAGGACGGTACAGTTACTTTAAAAAAAACAGCATTTCATCTTCACTCGAGAAATCTAATTGACGGCCTTTGATGCGTCCCTCTTGATAACTCTTATTGATACAAAGTGTTGCCGTAACTGTCGTTGACCTGCACAAAGTCTACACACTGAGAAAGCATTCAAAGATGAACATGTACATTTAAAAATGTAAATAAGACCAAAGCTCAAAAAGATTTATCACTGTACAAAGCACGATCCCCGTAGTTTTTGTTAATTGAAGGAATGAATCAATTTCCGGAGCATTTTAAAGATGCGTGTGTGATTGGAAAGTACGCGTGTTGTAGCTAACTCTACTTCAGGGAGCTAAGAAAGCTGTGGCTGATATCTTTCGTAAAGTAAAATTACATCTCTTAAAAAGAAAGTTTGACGCTGAAATTACTCGTTTCTTCTCTATAAGTTTTCAAGGATAATGTGCAGAATGCTCGTGTTAGATAGAGATTATTTTTAATTTATTCGCTGTGATGGATATGAATTAAAAATTGATAATATTGAGAGCGACTTACTAACTACGTTGGATACTGATTCTTAAATTTTGTTGATTACTTTTTTTTACTGGATCAAAATTGCACATTCTCATTTCTTGAAAACACATTATTCATGTTGCTGACATTAAATTGATAAGACTAATCTAATAATTCACTATACAGTCTGCGAAAAAAAAGAAACCCTTAATAACACCTAGCAACAGGCACCAAAGCACAAAACCATCAAGCAATAAAAATTAACCTTATTCGCCATCCATAAACAGATACTCTAAAAAATTTCCTGAGAAAAAAACAGTATAATAACAATGCTTATGACTGCAGGCCGAAGAAAGGAAGTAACCGCCTTCAATTCAGCGGAGAGTTTTACGTTCACTCTCACCTCCGCGTAGCAAGCCACTATAGTTAAATCTCCCTCTGTAGTGGTTCATCTATGTATATACAGCTGTGCAAGAACGGCAATCTGCGAGAAAGTTTATGTACCTATACACAAATATAAGGAAACGGGACGCTCTCGTGCACGCGAGGTATACGGGAGAGAGAAAGAGAGAAGCCTCTTCAGTACACACGTGCACAAAAACATGCATTGCAACTCAAGGCTTCATGAGCACGCGAAACGAAACTCGTTTATCAGCCGCGCGGTGTAGGTTGCAAGAGAGCCGATTTCTGGACTCCGAATTGAGATCAGTTGCCCTCATTTTGCTAAGAGTAGATTGATTAGAGAGGGAGTGTTTCACGGAAACAAAGTTTGGAGGATCATTGGACGTTAATGAGTGAGGCTTATAATTAAGGGTTATTACTTTTAAAATGTTTCCCTATAACATATCGGTTTGGAATTTTTCAAGTGAGAAAAAACAAGCCACGAATGATAAGAATTTGCAAAAATAATTTCCGCCGACATTTTATATGCAATACTAAAAATACCGACACTACTTACAAATAATATCTCGTATCACTGAGAAAAAAAAATTTTCAAGTTCAAGTATAGACTTCTTTTCTGAAAAGAGAGAAATTCTAGTACCCCGTAACGGTGAAAATAATAATTCAAGGAAAACCATTTTGAGACAGGTACATTGGTTTTTTTATCATCATGAGTAGAATGAAAGTAGCATGAAAGATAGGCACATGTAATCAATGCACTTGACTCTAACCAATCGTTAGGGAAAAAAATTAAAAATAAATTAACTCGTTCAAGCCCCCTAGAACTTTCCGTAAAACAAAAATAAAAAGTAGTTGTTACAGGCAAAGGTAGCAAACTTCCGTCGTACTGTAATTTTTATACTATATAATTATACCCTGTGTGTACCCAACGGACACATGTAGGCATGCAATATATACTATAACGATAGACACCTGCGTAGAGTGAGCTTAGATTGGCCTTGACAAAAGCCTTTCATATAAAATATAGAATGTGTGTGAGTAGTGCAGGTCGATAGCTAGCACCACCTCTATTTTATACATATTTACTTTATTGTATTTAGCCACACCTTATTTTATGGTGTGCCAATCTTATTTCACGGATAATGCGTAGTTTTTTTGAATTTTGATGTTTAAATAAATTAATTCAAATCAAACAAATTTTATTTTATTTTGATGAGGACGTTTTGAACTGAAACACAATTGATAAAAGCGGGAGCGATCGCGGAGTAAATTTTTCTTAATTATAAATGTACGACTACAACATTGATTGTAACGAGTGAATGGATTCAATCGTGAATTGACGATTCTCTTGATATTCAACCTAGTAAGGGATTATTTGGCAAAAGCGAGGATGTACAACTGCATTGCGGTTCACTGGTATGAATTTTGGCTTCAACTGCCAAGCTTACAATATAAGTAGGACGGGAATCAAACAAAGATCGATTAGACTTACATGTAATTATCAAAATTTAAAGTATAGGTGTGAAATTAATTTCATGAATAAATTTATTTTAATGCCAAATTAAAAGTAATTTTTCTAAAACACCAAGGACTTTATTTTTTATAACCACCCCAATAACCAATGTGCTCGTATTATACTGTAGTAACACTTTAAATATAGATATGTTACAACTGAGATAAGAAGTAGTTTGCAAGGATGAAATTTAATAGCCAAATCTTGTGTGAAGATGGCCGAATCATAATAGACATAAAAATGCAACGTCCATAATAATAATTTCCACGAGCGTTCAGTTATGCTTCACGTGAATCATTAACTATTTATTGGAGATGGTAAATATGGAGATTCATGTCAGAAGACGCCTTATGTAAAATTCGAGGAACTGGACAAAAAAAATGGCACGATTAGTAGAAATAAAAAAATTGCTATCGTGAGACGCGGCAACGAAAGAAGGAAAAAGAAAAGAATTAAGTAATAAAACGATGATGATAATACCAACGTGCAGGCTCTGAGAGAAAGGCTTTCTAAAATACCTTTACCGAGTCTGCCGTGCTGCAATGAGAGAATCATCGAATCGATGAATTTCGAAAGTCGCTTGTCGAAGTTGCGTTGAATACACTTTCTTTCGTACGTCCACAAAAGTATAGTCTTGTAATTATTAAATATTTTGTAAACACGATGATCAAACTCAGGTATAATATTCACCAACAAAGTGTTGCAAATGTTTCGAAGTCTTTTTTTTGTTTTATCAACATGAAAATACGTCAACGTCCAGTCATCAGACTAAATGAAGACATCGCGATACAGAAAATGCAATAAGTTCTTTGAATTTTTTAAAATAGAAGTGTCACAAGTTATTTTTTGGAAAACCCTTTTTAACATTAATGGCTGGAAATAAAGATCTCAACAACTTTGTCATCTTGCAAAAATCAATTAACATTTGCATTTACATTTAATTCTACTTGACAGAAAATCTTATGCGTTTGAAGAGGTAAAAGTGGGGAAATTCATTGTAGGTATTATATGAACGACACCGACAGCGGAAGGAGAAGATAGAAGAAAAAAATTTGCGTAAAAACTTTTTTACCTTGAAGCTATAGTGAAAGCTTACGTAAAATGTAACGAGAAATGCTAGATCGGCTCGCTTTCCCCACAACCTTATATAAAGTTTGAGTGACCACGCTGATGAAGCGCCTGAATTTTGAAAGTTGTTTGTACTATACCTGAATTATTATTCTAATTAGGTTTTCTGAATCGGTACGAGTCCGCGTATAAACATCATTTGAATTTCAAGAGCTCGGTTACATAAAGCGGATCTCGCCGAAGACGCATACGTACATGACTTGATACTATAGGTTTAACAAAAACAAAACATTCTTGAACAATCGAATTTCTACTGAGTTTTCTCGAATCCCACTCAGTTTACGATTTGCTTTACCACATTAATCGTGAAAAATTAGAAAATCGATGTCGATACGATGTATACTGTTTTTGAGTGTCGCGTACTTCTTCACTCAAATTTCAATAAAAATAATAGCGATGGTGCCCATTTCAAGCAAAGGGACCATTATTTCCACGATCTACACACTCCAACCGCATTTCAGAGTTTCAGGAAAACATTTATATGATACTAACAGCGCGTTAATCACGGACCGAAAAAAGGAAAAAAAAAAACACAAGGAAAAAAGACAAATCTCGAAATCACCCGAGGACAAAGGTATCGTGAGCCGGCATCTTCGTGCAGCGATGATTGACTCACCTGCGCGTCGCGGATCCAAGGTGAAGACCAGCAAGAAGAATGAAACCGCGAAAAAGATCAAAAGATGGCAAGGCCGATCGTACAGGTGTCCGATCTATCGTATCCGCGGCATCCTCTTATCCCCCTTGTTTTCTTCGTTCGCGTGCAGAATTTTACGAGTAAACGGTAAATATTGGCACTGCTCCTGACGGTAATGTAATGGAGCGTGTTCAATAATGTACAACCGAGCGTCGCGAGCCGATCGCTAAGACTGAGGAGAAGGAAAAACCGAAGCGAGTAAAAGGAACGACCGAGCGAATCGGTTTTCTGTGTTGCGAGTTGTCCAAAGTCCAAGCATGCGAGTGTAAGTGTAAGTATGTGTGAATGCACATTTGCACATGGACCCAGAGTACCCAGACCCAGACCCAAGCCAAAGAAGCCGGGTGTGTAACTGTGTAAGTATGTAGGCTCAGGAGCGCCGGCGCGTAAGCCTCGATTTCCTTTCTCCACTCTTTCATAGCTATAAATATACTTATTATGTACCATACTTATGCAGCATGATGGTTTTACGCCTGTCGTTGTTTTCGCCACCTGCTCTGTACATGTAGGCCTTTTGCCGGTGCTTGAGGGTTGGGGGGAGAGAGAATTTAACTGCCAAGCGCGAAGATCGGCAAAAATGGTTAGGGTTCAATTTTTGTTTTATTGTAGATGTAAGCATTTAGGGAGTGAATATTATGTATATTATAGTATTGGCATTACAAACTGATATCTTTTTGATGTGAATGATACTTAGAGGAAAAAACGTGTAAGAGCTGTAATCAAACGTTGCACCAATGTGATGGTTGACATATTATATGCTTATTTGTAGTGAAGTGCTTTTTGAGGGCTCAGACATTTTTTTGATTTTTTTATCGTCACCGGAATATCTTTTTAATGAAACATATCATTTTTCGTAATGAATCTTTAAAAAAAAACTTCAAAAAAATGAAATGATCGACGTAACAGTTGAAGATCTGAAACTACTTAATGTTTTCGTGGTATATTTGGAAACAAAAGATTCTATGTACTTTAGTAAAACATTTGCAAAATCAAAACATAATTATGTTATTCTTGTATATATATCCAAACGTGTCATACGTTTACCTAAATACAAGAATTTAATATCATCTAAAGAACAAAACAGTAGAATGCTGTAACAATCAGCAAGTATTTAATAATATTACACCAATGCAACACAAGTGACCAGCCCGTCTCTTAAGCAGGCTATCTTGCAACAGTGGATTAGCACGTGGAGTACACGCGTAACATTACATAACGCACTAAGAGTGAAATTTTCCTGACCCTCGGGTTACGATAAAGAAAGAAAAACCCTTATTAATTATTCGAAAATTTTTAATTACCATTTGACACTATACCGATCGGGCCTCCTATTAAAACGATCTTTTTTTTTACGAACGGGATAAAAATACATTACATTACTGATATGTGAACGGTAAGTACAGATAATGTAGAGTCGTAGAGATGATCTAAAATGTATTACTGGAAAGAATCCTCAGGCTATGGTGTTTTGACGAGAAAACAGGAAATCGGTGCAGTAACTGAAAGCACCAAGCTTACTCTAATGGATGTATCTGTTAGCAACTGCAAACTGTGATTTCTCCCTTATAATTTGATGAGTTGGTGTCGGTTACTTATTACTTTATATTTTCTTCAAATATTCACATACATGTACATAAAGTATGTTTATTGTTTAACATATCCATTTCTTTCACAGCAAAAGAGCTTTAGGGCAAAAATATGTCTCTTTTCTGCATTTTTTCGGACTATTTCTTCTTGGTCGGTTGATGGTTTGATAAATTGATGGATCGATCGCGGTGACTGCCTAATAAATCAAAGATATGCATAGATATATATGCTTTGTGTATAAGAACAATAACCAATTAAGGCAATGCTTACGTGGACTGCATGGTTCTTCGGAACGTCTGAAAATTATTTTTTTTTTAGAATAAAAATCATGCAGAAGACATGATGTCGAATGACACCCTACGTTAATCATATTTTTCCGATCGTCTTTCAATTTGAATTTGATTGGTTTGTTCTGTAGAATCCTGTAACTTCATTAGGTAATGGGTACGTGAGAAAAAAATTAAATAAATTATTTTTTTGTAAAATTTTTTGATGTAGCAGAGCATAAATTACCATCAAAATAAATCATGGTTCATTGTACGAACTGGTTAAGTTGACAAATGTTCAGAATTATTTTGAATTTTAAAATTTACCTGCGTATTTTAAGCGTTTAAAATGGCATTTGAATTATAGTATACGATACGTGAAATAAGTTGTTATCTCAAAAGTTCAATTTTAATTTTAAATGATAATAACATATAGAGTTTACTGAATTTCAAAACTAACAAAACAGAAATTGTATTGTTTTTCTTTTATTTATATTAAAAAAAAAAAAATTATGTAATCTCTTACTTCGGTTCTGAAATATTTCAATGGTAAATTACAAGGCATAATTAAATTATTAAAAATGTTTATAAGTGTATAATCAATTGTAATAATATATCATATGTACTGATGATTTTTATAAGTTGAACAAATAGTTGTAAGCAAAGTCTTAATTTGCGAAAAAAGTGCTTCCATAAAGTAATTTTTTTTTTTCAGTTTTTTCAAAAAATTTATTTTTTTGCATTAAAAATTAACACACTGCGTTACGGAGGAAAAAACAATACTTAAACCTTATAAAAGATCATATCCTATAAGTTAGACTTGTCTCGCATATTTTGGCTTAATTCTCCTCTAACATCTCATTCGTGAATCGTTTGATTAATTTTGCGATGTCACTATAGGTCGATCGAAAAAAAACTTAGTTCGACGTCGATTATCAAAAAATACTTGATGTGCTGCGTGAAAAACTTCTAGACATTTATTTACTGTTCTTTAACACGTTTTCATAAATAAATAGAAAAAAATTTGCTCTACAGACTCATGATCCCAAGGACCCAAGAAAGTTTTGCATTAACAGTAAAAACTTTCGCATCAACTTAGAGAACACCTTATAACGACGCAGGATTATTTTTCTTATACTTCACTGATTTTTTTACTGTCTCGCGTGATCGACTTCTTGTCTATAATAACAAGAAATACCAGAAACTATTTTAAAAAATAAATATTTTAGTNTTTTTAAATGAATTTTATTTTCAGTAATCGATTGAAATTATAAAAAATGACAAATGTAAACTAAAAAAAAAAAGGAAGAAAGTCGTAAGGTCAGATAAGAAAAACGATCGGATGAAAGTCAAAAATAAGAGAGTATTCTTAATAATAAAGATGACCAACGATTAAAAAACCTGACAAATAACGTCGTACAGTGGAATAACGGCGACACTCGTCGCGATGACAAAGTTTTTCATGTCTTCTACTGGTTCATTTTCTTTTTTTAATATATGCTTCCGAAGAGTCTTACAATATCAAGTACAAACGCAATATCTTTTTTTGTGACTTTTTTTGCTTGAAGACTCGTTTTTAAACCTCTTGCTCGTTCCCGTTCACGCTCACAATCTCTCTCACACTCTCGCTCTTTCTTTCTTTCTCTCTTTTTAATGTTAGTACGTAAAAGTCTCAGCGAATTGTACAGTATTTAAAAGAGCACTCGAGAATACACAGATACAATCATTGAAAATATAGCATATTTATACTTAAGAAAAAATTGTCCAAGTATTACTTCGACGAATACACACGAGCACTAATCTTATACTTCAAATGCTTGTATCTGCAGATTCTTCATCATTGTCAAGCCTACACTGTTCAACTTTGAACGTCATTTTTTCTCCCTCTGAATAAATGAATTGCAGTACATTAGTATTGAAACACGTTACAGCTGCATTGAATTTTAATTAGTTTCTAGTATTATCAATACGCCCATATACGTAAATATCGACAAACTAAGCTATAAACTCATCCATCTCAAGTAAATTGTGGGATTTGCTTAACGGATCTAGGAAGATCCTTTCAAACTAACAGTATATTGAAATACGAGATGAAAAAATTAAAGGAGCAATTTGAAGATATTCAGAAATGAAGAAAAAAAAAACAAAATCAGTGTCGTTTTTAAAAGTATTTATGTATAGAGCCCAGTCTTACAAAAAAATGACCGCATCGTATTGAGGGACGGGCGTTGACTGCTCACTGCGTTTACTTTTTTTTTTCATTCAACTAACAATCGTCGTGCTGCTTATAGTTGGAGTTTCCACTGCGCAATAATAATAATTAATAATAATTAATAATAATAACAATCGTTCATAAACCTCATTCTTTTACGATTGCGTTAAACGTTTTCATCCCGTGTTTCCATCATTTTTTTGTCCACTGAGAAGTAGGGGTATACATGTGTAAAGATATTACAGTGTTATAAGTACGATCATAGAAATTAAACTATTAACTTTAATGAAAATCCTACTCTCATTTGCCTATTTGTTTTCTTTATAATATTATTTTTAGAATTATGATTAAAAAACTCGTTTATTTCTGCAAAAATCAAAAGCGAACATAGTGTGATTTTATTTGTTTTCTCTTGTCTGTTTTTCTGTTACTTCCGTGATCATAAGATTACAAATTTGTTAAATTAATGTAATTTTTTTTTATTTCAATAATTTGAGGGATGAGAACCACCTTAATCCTTGATCCTTTAATAAAATCGCCTTTTCGAATCGCCATTGCATGTCTGAGTGTAGCCCTGACTTGGGAGAGTTGCGCAAGGTACCCAGGGAAGAGGGAACTTCTCTTTACTACGAAATGATCACAGCTGACCTGCGGTGCCCTGCGGAGCCCAACAGTCCGATTTGTTTTTAAAACGACGTGAATGATGTTGGTTATATATATATACTTAGAAGGACAGACGAGCCATTATAGCTTAGATTGAATCAGTGCTGATCGTTGAATGGCATTTTAGGCTGGGACTGTTTTTTTCTTGTATTATTTTGATGGTGGCATAAAAGATGTTGGAGATTAACGGATATTGGCGCATCACATGGCATACTTGCGCGTCCACTCGCGTGCCAATTCGTTGTATTTTTCTCTGTCGGTTTTGTATATTCTAGCTATCTCTGGCACTAGAGGATCATCTGGGTTTGGGTCGCAGAGCAGAGAGCATATTGACAATAACACTGAAACAGAAACAGTTATTCATAGTATATCTTAAGCTCATGTTGATTTTTGTGATACACTAGAAAAAATAGATAGCCAATTGAATAAATTTTTATGTTTATCCTTAAAGTGAAATTAAATTTCAAAGTTTGAAATATAAACTTTTGAATTCCGTAAACAGTATGTTTATTATTATTATTATGGTTTATTTAAGTATGCTATGTCGTTTTATTTAAAATTAATATTTACCTTTTGAAATAGTTAGTGCAGGAGACCATTGCGATCTTAAAATATCAAGGCAAATACTTCCATTACTGTTAATGTTAGGATGATAAATTCTGGTCGTGAATGCAACCTAAATAAAAAGTAAAGTTATGAATAAATTCAACCTTTTTTTTTTAAGTCCGTAAAAACTATTACTTTTCATTTAAAATAGTTTTATTAACAAAAACATACCTTTGGTGGTTTGAACGGATAGTCTGTTGGAAAGTGTATTGTTAAAAAGAATACTCCACCTTGGTATGGACTGTCAACCTGTAAATAAAAAGTTTTGTTATGTAACAACTGTTACAGATAAGATGATTGATCAGAAATATTAAATTTCAATCACTTACTGGACCCATGATTGTTGCCTGCCAGTGAAACACTGTAAATTTAAATAAAAATTCCAAATGAATTGAATAACTTTGTAACAAGTAAGTAGTGTATGCTATTTCTTTTCTATTTTTTAAAAGTTTTTATAGGCTCAGGTATAAAAACAGATGATACATTTATATAAGTATGTAATGACAGGGTACAAAATCAATAAGTCTGTGTCATGTATGCAACTAGAAATATTTTCATAAATTTGGAAAGTCGTGGTGATCTGAGTTAAAATATGCATAAGCTAAATTAATAACAAATATGATTTTAAAAGACTGCGCAGGCATTAGAACAACTTGCCAGAGATTTAACGTTACAGTGACAGTTAAAAAAGTGTTTGCTTATTTGATAACGTTGGAGTTTTTTGGCATTATTTCATAGGTGTTTATATGTAAGATGAGCAACTACTTTTGTATATGATTAAAAATATCACGTTCAGCTATACCAATTTAAAATTTGAGGTAGAATCGTAAGGTTACCAATAAATAATTATTTTCATAAATGAAATACATTACGAATTATTAGTTACCATAACTTGACCGTTTTATTAAAAGATTTATTTTTGAGTATGAAATCCGTACAAGAAACTTGGACTACGTTTTCATATGTTTTTATATGCTTTTGATAAGTTAATTTTTTAGCAAAAACTGATAATAAATATTAGGATAAAAATAGAGTAACGATTATTTAGAAAAACATGGTTGTTTAAAGCTGTTATGTATAGTGAAAAAAAAAAAAATAATAATTTATAGTTTTTGTAAGCTTAGTAGAGATAAGAGTAAGCTTAGTAGAGATAAAATTATAATTGTACAATTATACGTACAAGGTCAGAATGGTCATATTTACTGAAATCAATTAAGAGAGATTTGAAAATACACCAATTTGTTAAGGATTTATATTTGATTAATTACTGATTTTATTAATAACCGACAGTTATGTAAGTAACTGCTTCTTCATTAGAAACGACTGTGTTAGTGGAGTAGTTATTTCTGGTCAATATCTGATATAGTATTCTCAAAATTTCGAATTTTCACTGATGATAATCACAGCACTAGTACATGTGCATAAAATCTTCACATAATCCCTGAACTACTGTTGTATTTGAAAACTAAAACTGTATAAGAAAATTGCATACTAATGAACATGATAAGTATTTTACTTGGATACTCATAAAAACAATCTTCATATTTTTATCCACAGAGAAAATTATAAAAAAATCATGTCACTTAATACATTAACACATCACTTATGTTTTCATCAAAATGTACACTATCATCAGAGATAAAGAGGTTTAAGCAGACATAAGTTACATATTCTTTTTCTGAATTCAGTAGAGATTAACAAAATTGATTGGACTTACGATCTTCGCTCACTGGGCCCGCTGAACATTGTGATGGTGGATCTCTCCCCAAATCTTGAAGCTCCTATATGAGAAAAAAAACTACAATTAATCACTAACCAAGTTTTGTACACATAGTATGGAGATTTTTAAATTTTCAAGTTTCCAGACAGGAAAAATGTCTTACATGCTCTAATCTCATTTTCTAAAGAGTAGAAGTAATAAATGGTGATTATAAGACCAGTCATTGATAAATATTGTGGATCGTTCCACCAAACACACACAGAACAGGAGTGCTTTACGCATTATTTATAAGGAAAGGGCAATGCAAGTAAAGAAATCAAAAAGTGACATGAATGAGTCATAGAAGAGACCAGGAGTTGTCACTGGCATAAATATGATTCGATCTTCTTGTCAAGTAGCCAAAAAGACTTTGCTACAGCATCCACAGGAGAAGAGACTATTTAAAAAGTTATTATATAGAGAGAGAGATACAAAGAGAACAGTCACATAGAATCGCCGAGAATTTCAATGATTTCCGAGTTATCGATAGCTCGACGTTGTTGTGTATGTACATGTGAGACCGTGAGATATATAATATGTATGTATATGTATACGTGTATATTATAATAAGTGTGCAGAAATAATGCACATCAGAAGAGAGTGGGAGTAATTAATCGAGATAGCAAACTAGGTAGGTTTAATCTAAACAAATGTGGATCCATGAAGGAATGTCTCCCAAAACACGTGAGAGTCTCACGCCAGCCTCGCGCACCAGGAGTTGGCGCTGCTGTCCCCTCCCTCTTCTTCGAGGCAGCAGTTTTCCTTGTTTAACGCAATAAGACATGGGACGACGTGTACATGCTAGAGATAGTGCTTATGTATGTATACGCGCTCGAGTGTGCGCGCAACCGCGCCTCCTTCCGGGTCATCCCGAAAAAATGCTAGCAAGTCAAAAAAAGCACCAGGAAATCGAGCCGCCGTACACGACTGAGCGCATCATCGAAATCACGGTGGCGCGATCACACAACGGCAACAGACAAAGCTCGTCCGCGGAAAGCCCCCCATTGTTTTCGCATACCGAACGGAGAGGCTAGAGGACAGCTCTGAAATGCCCCGGTACCCGAACACGGCTTACTCACAACACTGTACTTGTATGCATGCGATGTAGCTAGACAGAGCCAAGGATGTGTAACAGGGTAGGTATAGACGGGCTATTGGGCTAGCGTAGCAGAAAGAGGGCCATAACCTCCGGGTCACTAATATGTACGTAGCTATTGCAGCAGAGCACCAGCAGACAAGGACCGGAGCGCATGATGACACGTACCTTGTTAATCCGCTTTAGAGCCATTTGTGGAACTGCGTCCTCTGTGTGTTTGTGTGTACAGGCTAGGTATGGAGCCTCGTGCTGGGCCAAAGACTGGGGCTCACTTTTCAGGACTCACTGTTGCAGCAAAGAGCACAGAGCAACGGTGAGTTGGTACAAGCCAACGATGACTACGGCGAGGGCGCTTAGCTTGCGAGAGCGAGAGAGACAGATGCTTCGAGGTTCGAGGTTCGAGGTCTCTCTTCTCTCCTACTTCTTCTTCTTCTGCTGCTAATATACGCTTCACAACTCCCCGGTGCACGGTATATACTTATATATTTTTTTCGTGACGCAAAGTTAACAACTACAACTAGCCTAGTCGCGCGCGGGTATGTACTATGTACTGTACACACGCTGCGGTAGAGCGGATAGCCCGGATAGCCGACAAGCCGACCGATGAAGCCACGAGCGAACGACGAGACGAAAGCACACACAAGCGACAGCAGAGCTCAGCAAGTTAGCGGAGGTTCTCTTCCGTCTCGTCTCGTTGATGATTAGGGAATTGCAAGATGGCCGCCTCTAAAACGTCGTTCCACTACGCGATTCAAGATGTCCTCCGCGCTCGTGCGACTGTTCTGTGGCCTTCTGTCGTTGTCGTTCTGTGCTACTTAATGGCACTGTAAGTACTGGCTGAGCTGGCTCAGTGCTTTGGCACAATTGGCACGGAAAGCTAAACGCGCGTGTTGTTACTGACTAGTCTGGTACTCTGGTGTGTTAGTATAAGTTGGTACATGTCCTGAGTCTTTCGCTGTGTGCATCGCGAAATCGCGGGGTGCGAATTGCGAATATGCAGGAGAAGAGAAGGGGGTGCAGTTTTTTTTTTTTTTTTTTTTTTAGATCAAGTACAACATTTTTAAATAGGTAATATTAATTTGTAATCAGAGTAGGTAATTAGTATGTTGTTGTTGTATTCGGTCGCGACACTGGCGACATCCAAGATTGAGTTGAGGGTTGAGGTTGACCTCTGTAAGACCTATAATTAAACCTTGGAAATTTAAAAGCCGCCAAATGTCGGATGACATTGTCAATTTAATGATTATTTTATATTTTTGACTCTTTAAGATGTAATGACCTACTTAGGCAATTTGTTTGCATTCGTTCTCATCTATAATAAAGACAGAGAATGCAAAAAAATATCACCAGTCACGCATTCGTATTTCAATTTTATTGTATTTTTCCGCGCTACTTGCACGAGAGCAGATAATGACAGTACGACAATGGCACTGAAGAGACAGACACAAAGATACAATAATTGCTCATTGAATTGCTATAATATATACACTTGTGCACGTATAAAGTATAAAGCGATTCGATATAATGCATAACTGCAATACTTAATGTAGTTATGTATGAATTTATATAGATAGGTACAAATTGCTTGAGCTTTATTGGAGTTTTAAGTTATGTATGTATGAACAGTCTTAACGGACAGATACTCACGATCCCCACAGCATAGGGACACCTCGTGTTATAGGGATCGCGAATATCTGTCCGGCTAACATAGGTTCGCTAGTGCGATTTAAAAGTGGCCCTTTAAATCAATCGGCGAGCTGCCTTGATTGACGTCAAAATCGATAATGAATTTACCTACCCATCTGAATATTGCCTCTAATAATTTTACTATTGCCTCGATTTTGAGAAAAAAGTTGTATCGTTATGGAGTTGATCATGGAAAAAATTTGAATATTTTGTTGAAACGTAATTTTACGTGTTAAGTACATATTTTCTCCCCTTGAACTCCAACGATTGGATTCATGATAAATTAAATACGTCACAGTATTGTGGAAGTAATTTGTATAGCTTTGCGTGCTTTCGAAACGGTTAATCATTGTTTTTCGTATCATACTATCATACATAATTCATAATCGAACAAATTTTAAATTATTACCTCTCTGGCGCAACGATGAAGCTATTTCAGCGGGAAATTTGAATTTCATGGACGCATGTATGAACTTATTTTAAATCTACATCTTTGGCTAATTCGACTTTATTTCAGCCATTTCGTTTCAAAGGTTCTTGAGGTCGTTTTAAATATATTTAAATATTGGTAATAAATGTTTTAAACATTTTTTTCAGATGATATGATTAATCATTGCTCTAAAGACACGTGAGAATGTAAACTTTTCGTTGTATTTTTATAACAAGCGAAACTGAGGTGAGTGGCAAAAAAAAGACGACCGATTAATTTTTGGCATGTACAATCACAAAATCATGAAAGGTTAAATTTCAAGTTGATCAAACAAACACACTTGACGCTCGTTGAGCAAGTAATAATAGTACTTTTGAAAAAAAAAAAAAAAAAAAAAAAATGTCTTTACGCATCGTTCAACTATAAGTATACAATTAATTGTCAAAAGTCAACCTGGATTTCTCTGGAATACGCGTCAACATGGGTGACAGATCGCAAGGTTGCATGTGCTCGCGAAGAAGACGAATGTTGGCTCACAAAAAATGCAGAAGAAAAAGGCAAATACAGGTTTGCGACCAGGAGGTGGAGCGCTATTATGAGCCTTACTTGCAACACGTACACGACGAGTACTCGCCGGAGTCATCGGAGTGCAATTCGGAAATTGAGCTTCCCTGGAACGAGTTTGCCATTAGTCACACCGAGTTGGAAAATTTAAGAAAGTGTACTAAAATTCTAGAGGTACGATTTGAGCGATTCCATCTCATAGAGAATCCAACACGAAAAATAAACTTTAAAGGTAAAAAAAATGGATTTTTTTAGAAATCGGACATAATTGAAATAGAAGAAGACGAAGCGAAAGAGGTGGAGCCGGTAAGAAAGGTATCCTCAGGGCTGATCCATTTACCGTGGGAGGAATTAGTCATAACGGATACCGTACAGTCGGATTTGGCTAAGAATAAAATGAGTCACTGCGATTCGACTCTGGAAATTCCTTGGGAAGATATAATGTACGATTCCAACATCAAAATACAAGTTTCCAACGAGGAGTTGAAAAATTGCGACAAGGATGTCGTGGAACTCCCGTGGAAGGACTTATTGATGCCGGAGAATATCATTTTGACTACTCCGCGACAAAAATGCCTGCTCTTCCAACATAAAAAAGTACATAAAAAGAGCAAAAGATGCGGCTGTGCGAAATTCAGACAAAAAAGTTTGTTTTGAAATTTTTTCTTATCTTCAACAATTCACGAGTACTAACGTAAAATAACTGTACACTTTCTGTACCGCAACCGCATGAAAAATAAAATTTTAAATACTAAATTATACCAAAGAATTTAATCACCTCAATGTTTACGAAATTAACCATTTGTTATTCAATGTTCGACTATATTCACAGTGTTTTTAATCAGCAGACACGCGATCGTTTGACTTAAATTTTTCTAACCTGCCTGGTAACCGGCACATATACAATCATCATGTAAAAATCCAGATCAACGACCAAACAGGCGTACAGTTGAAATTTCAATTCATTAAATTCTAAATGACAGTGCATGGCAAATAAATTCCTAAAAAATTAGGCACTAAAGATCGGTATCGGAAAAAAATCTCAAAATCACGAGCGCCTTTAAGGATCCGGTAAGGATGAAAAACACTTCCTCCGAGACGAGTCTGGCCTCTTCGGTCCCGATGACGGCCACGTCGAACCTCACTTACTCCGACGCAGACTACGAAACATCCAGCGAGCTTCTGACTCCACGAGCAGTGTCCGCCCTTTCGCCGCGATGTCCACCGATCTCGCAATATTATTCTCCAAGAGTTGACAGCGATTACCTATCGATCGGCATCAGCAAATCGAGTACTGTCCTACAGGCACACGACGAAGAGAGCGTGTCATCGCCGGCCACGAGCAGGTACTTTAGCAGCGTCAAGAGTGACACTTACCTGTCCCAGCAAAGTAAGATGATCAGCGACTTTATGGAAGACGTTCCGAGAGTGTCCGAAGAAATAGCCGAGCCTAACTTGTTGCCCAAGCCGGCAGAGTCGGTGGAATCAGTGCTGACCGAATTTTACCCCGCCAAGAGCGATGCCGCTTCCTCCTCGACGAGCAGGACGGACGAAACTCTGCGCGGTTCGCGGTGCTCCGTCACTAGCGACGAAGCACCCGATGATCCGGAGAGGCTCAAAAGCGCGGAAAAAATCGACGTCCTCGGCACGATCAGCCAGACGAAAAACAAAATTCTCGAGAATCTCGCGCACGTCACGCACAACAAGTTGTTTTCGAAGCCCAGCATGGGTTACTACGCCAATAAATATTCGTCCCTCTCGATGAATCAGGACGAGCCAAGCGTACTGACTCAAAAATCGTCACACCTGTCTTCACGCAGATCGACACCGTCGCGAAGTAACGGCGTCGAGTCAATTCTAATGATTGACTACGAACTCCAGCCGCTAAACTTGATGTTGTCGAGGCTGCTGGCCGAATTTCGAGCGATGGATGTGCGGGGCAAGCTCGGTTTTTCAGACGCAAGTCGGTACGACTTCCAAAGTGAATTATTCCAACCGGGAGTTCAGAAGCGCTGCTCAAGGAAGAGTATCGCAACGTTGACCGCGCGGACGGACCGGCAAGGAAGCGCGATACTGAGCGAGTATATGATGCGCACCGGCCAATCGGTATCTAGCAATCGGCGGGCTACTCCCAAGACGGACGGACAGCCGCAAACATCGAGGACCAGCCAAGCCGATTGTGACAAAGCAGTACGCGAGTCGTCGGCAAAAAGTGGATCGCGATCGAGGTATAAGCATTTGTATGCATATGGATGTAATAAATACTTGTTATTTCGTCATATGATGTATATTGGTGAATTTTATTGTTTTTCGATCAAGATCGAAAGTGATGGAGAGATGCGAGCGCTGCAGTCGACATCGGAGAATAAATCGGTATGTCGGTGCTGGAAAATCTTATCACTGTGAAAGCAAGTGTATCGTTTCCCCGACTACAAGTCCTGAGGATGATGGCACGTGTCACAGGAGGGGCCTCTTCGACAGAAGAAGGTCGAGCGGTGATGGCGAAGGTAACGAAGAAGAGTCGATCATGGGTATCGGTAATAAGGTTCAGGGGACGCATTCTGAAGGGGAGACGATTGAGAAGAGCAGCTTATTTTCTGATTTTGTGTCGCTGATGGCGGAGCGTTGCGCTTTTCTGACGCGGCCGCTGACAGAAACGACAAAGTGTCAACATGTAGCCGATAATGTGAATAGAAATGAATCTAAGGATGGTAGTGACAAAATTTTGCCAATTTGCGATGAATATCAAGATGTCAAAGGTAAGTTTGACTGCGGTGTTGCTGACGTTAACCCAGTATCGTGAATTTTGAGAGTTTATGAGTATTTGCAATATACCTTGTGCAGATAATTTACAAAAACTTTGCTGCATTCTCCTTAATTACACACGATGTATAGTATTTTACGTATGTTGATGTTTGTAAATTTTAATTAAGTTGATAATACGATTTTCAACATCTTACCGATTTTTGTTACAGATCCGAAATAAATTGTTATTTTCCATTTCTGCTTACTAGATAAACTTGCCCCGACGTAGACAACATGTCATTATAAATTCAATAACTTGTTTTAAATTAATCACAAAATGTTACGCCTACTTTTATTATCATGTTGACCCTGGTCAAAGTATCGATTGATAAATATTGAAGCCAAAATTTTTGAGTCACTTTTTAATCCGTTTGATATCGTACATTCCACGTAAATCAGATGATTCGAGTCGGTTTGATGCAGTTCCAATCAACTCAATCGTGAATTGAATCTGGTATACTTGTGATCAAGCATGTAAGTATGGTTTTCAATCTCTTGTATGATACAAACGTAATTATACACGAACGTCGTATCGATACGTATAATGACCAACCCTTGTTAGATTTTATGTTCATTAGAAATATTGATAATAAAAAAATTTTTTTTTAATTTGCTCTCTAGACGTGTAATGCGCTGTAAACGTGGTGATCGTATGTCCGCGTATTATTCCACAAAGCTTGCAAGCTTATCGACAGACGAGACCGCGACGAGGAGCAGATTTGTCTCACTGACTCCGGGTGTTCCCCAAGATGGCGTTATGTCCGCATCGACCTCTTCTACGCGAGCCCCCCACGCTCTTCCCTCGGAAGACTCGTCGAGGAGAGCTCTAGGTAAGAGAGAAAGACGCCTCGAGCTAGCAAAAGAGGGAAAGAGAGCCGTACAACGACGGCCCTGTAATCACCATATCCGAGAATCCGAGTCAGTCTGGCTCGGTACAAGCGTCAGTACCGTCAGTGTACGTCCGGGGACGCGTTTTTTTACTTTTACCTATATTTTCATTACAATATATTTGCTACCACATAATTATATGCCTATTAAAACCAATTGGCCGCATTCATGTACACTGTGGCACAAGCGATCGCTTAAAATTATTGCGAGCGATATAAAACTTACTTATATACATTCGCACTAAAATATTTAACAATTTTAGCAAAAAAANTAGCTTTTTCCTTTTTATTGTATTGTCTGAACTGTCCAAATCTGAAATATCTATTCACTTTTTTTTTTTCTATTACCATATTTTTCTCTTTAAGTGCGCACTTAAAATTTGCACAGGCACACAGTTAAATGAAATCGACCTTTTGGTGATGAAATTCTATAATATTTAACAATTTTAGCAAAAAAAAAAAAAAAAAAATCGACACACAATAGTGCGTGTGACGGCTGCGCTCACGTCCGGGAAATCAAGAATAACGCGAGAACAGAGGGACGGTTGACATAAACTCCCTCACCGAGTTTTCGCACTGTTGTTCGCGAATTTTATCCCCCAAAGTGCTGGTGCTGTGTCTATGCTTATACGGCCGTACGCTCTGCATGAGTGCGTCGACAGTGTAACAAAAAAATGGAGCAGTGACGAGTGTAGGTACGCCTTTATGAGCAATACTCGGCGCGAGTGTGTTTGACAGCAGTGTGCAAATGCAAATGTGTGCTGGGGCCTCCGAAAACGTATGGATGTATACGTATATACGTCCCGTTGCGCGGCCTCCTTCACCTTGGGCAGAAATTTGTACGGATCGCCTCTAATGTGTCTACTACACCGCAATACGTTGAAACGATCGTGAAGGTCCTTTTTACTACGGTACGGAAATGAAATTTAAAAAAAAGCAAATGATATAAAACAGTGACAGAGAGTACAAGGGGTACACGATCGCCGTGGACACAACATGCCAGTGAGGGTGTTTTAGTGACATGTCTGTGTCGCGCGTGACGAATGATTTATAATAATCATAATATTATAATCGCGATACGCGAGAATGGGCTGCCGTCGTTGCTTGAACGGAATTAGCAGAGCTGGCTCTGTCGAATTCGTGATTTGTAGGAGGTGTAGCTTCGATCCTGTGCCCTGCACTGGGACCTCCTGACACAAAAGGAGCTGTCATAAACGTTTTTAGGGGGTTGGCGTTATTACAAGTGCGAGAATATAATAAGTAAAACAGAAAGTTTTGCGGTGGTAGTAGCTGTAGCTGCTGCAGTGTGCAGCGCTATGTGGCCAGACAGATGGCGCTACCGGCGTTTTGACACATCCCCAGTGCACGAGCTCGAGGCGGCTTGTACAACTGTAACGACAGCTGAAGCAGCTATCCAGCAGCAGCAACAGCCTGCACCGCGAATGTCATCTTTTCGGGTTGAACGGCAGCTACAGCGACTCGCTGGTCGCAGATCTGGCATTGCAGCTTGGCAGCATCGTCACACCAGCTCGAGCTGTTTATTATGAGCCGGGAATTTTACGTGCCCTGCCAGCCTTACGCATATGCGGTGAGGATTTATCAGTACATGATTTTTTTTTTTTTTCTTGCTTGTTTCGCGAGCACTCCCTCTAGATCATGTTGGTGCAGAACGCAGCTGGAGACTTGGATGAATTTTGTTAGACGTGCCTTCTTTAGCAAGTGAATATGTAAACACAGATTTAGGTCGTATCATCCTTAACACAAGCTCGTATATTATACCCAGGAGGGTCATTTTATTGATCTAGGGGTCGTACGTAGCGTGAGAGTTCTAAGAGACCCGACCTTACGCTGCTTTTAACATTTACACCCCTATATTCTGTACATTGTATCTACAGTACACGATTTTTCGCAGCCAGGTTATTGGGAGGGCTTGATTTATCATTATCTTTTTTATAAATTATGATAGGCACTTTAAATATGAAAATGCAAAAAACAAGTTCACTGTGATTAGATTTTGTTTGTCGCACGTGACTGCTCTATATAAGGGATGGTTTTGTTCTTCAAGATTGCTTCCAAGGTTTTTTTTTCACTTCAAACTGTCGATCGTGGGCTGGTCAATTGTACTTGGAAAAAAAATACAAGGCTAACACGGTATTTCTATAACGTAGAAAGATGATACTGCACGAATGGTAATTGAATGGGTGTGCTTTAGGTGTGTCCTAATCATTTTTGGACGTACCTTGCGTCTTTTATCCACATAAGTTTAAAAAGGTTTGTAGTTTCAACGTTAAATTCTGTTCTACGTCTTTTTTTTTTTTTTTTTTTTTTTTTTTTTTCATTTGTGAAAAATAATACGACCCACTCCATAATAACTATCTAAAAATTTGTTGAATTTTACGTTACTAAACAGTAATATTTAAGAAAACTTTTTATTGAATAAGCTACAGAATTTCTGCAAAATCATCTGTATTGTTAAAATTTCAAGCGACAGTTACTTACCTAGTCAAAACAAATGATATACGTAAATATAAATATAACTAAGTATTGTAGTATATACTTTGCAATATTACTTACTCAAAAAATAACTAAAAAAAATATATACATATATCTCGAGCATATAGTTACGTTCTCAGAAAGAAAGACAAGTGACTGCTTTCACCGTAGTATGGCAGTATGGTACCAAAGTAAATCTTCACGCGCAGCGGCTTGGCGAACTGTCGATTTTCAAGGCTTATTTTTACGCCAAACCCGAAGACGCGAGAGAAAATGAACAACACGTACGTTTACGTAACCTTTCGAGAGGAGGGGGAATCCCATGTGTTGGTTCTCGGCTGTTTCTTCGTGAAAATTTGCGCGCTAGGTTTCACGCTCGATAATGTGCATTCCGTGCTCGTTACGCGGCAAGACTTTTATAGGCACACCGCGACTGTGTCACTATACTGTTCCACGTGTAAAAAAAATACAATTTGCGTATTGTACGATTCCAATAATGAGCAACCAAGGCATAAACCCGTGATACCTTGTACACTTACGTCAGCTTAAGTCAGCTACGGTGTAGTATCATATGGATGGAGACAAGGTCGATTTCAGCATTAGGCTTTGGAGAAACGTGTAGGCTGCATATATATGCATTCATAAGCTTACGCAATGAACGCACATAGAGAGAAAGATAACGAATGGATTTCTCCAATCGCCTTCTACTGTTGTTATTCTTAGCGTATAACGCGATTGAGATAATGTACGTTGACTACATCGAAGCTCTAAGTCGCTATTCTACAAGAGCTCGAGTTTTGATCAGCGAGTCGGAATCGGTTACAGATTTGAAAAACGCCTGTGTTATTGTAGCATATTTTTCCCCTTTGACCCCAAAATATTATTTCGTATACTTTTAGCACGCCAATTCTTAATTGATACCTTGTGTACGTGAGTAGAAATTAATTTTTTTTTATCTGTGATGCTCGAAGATTCTGAATATTAATAGATAGGACTTGATTTCTCAGTAGCGCGAATAATGATGGTAATAAATGTGATGTACCTGTATACGTGAAAAATCAAGGATGACTCAGTCGTCTGGCTCACTCGTCATCGCTCTAAATAATAAAAGTATGGTATAGTGGTAGTATATTTTAGTGCACTAAACTACCAGATGTTTGGAAAGTAGCATAAGGTTTTTGATCTCTGTGGAGTCCCGAGGGACTCACAGCTGTTTGCCATACGGTTACTGAGCCCACGTGTTATTCAGTCATTGTGCGTTTCAATACAGCTCTGTTTGAGTTTTCAGAACTTTAGAGTTCTTCGTTTTCTAAAATATTTGACAGAGAGTTTCTCACGGAGCTTATACTCGTAATGGTAATTTTTTATTTCCAAGCACGCATTACCTATGCCATAGGAAGGTCGTTTTTTCCAAAATATAAAAATTTCTAGTCACTTAGTACAGACGCAGCACGAAACACTTTTAAAAAAAGGATCAATCATAGGTAAATGTGTTGAAAAGAAAAACACGCATACCTGCTTACCCAAAGAGATCGATCAACTTAGCAATAAAAAAAAAGAGAAAAAGTATAGTTTCTACAAAGTAAGTATAGCCAATTATGTAACGTCCCGAAGCAACAGAAGAAAATCGCGGTTAGTGAACAAATACAAATCATCCATGTCCATGTCGTTCCGTTTGCGACCACCGTTCAGACCGAACAAAAGCGTGTCGTCGCAGACACCGCACCTCTTCCCTCCTTATAATTCAGTTTGATAGTGTTATTGGCAGGCCACTTCAACCCGCTAGAATCATCTAGGATGTATGAGTAGATCGGTGTATCGCCACAACAGCGTCCATACCTGTATATATACGCCTACCCACAGATAGCCAGAAAACGGATAGTCATGAACGACAATGGGGAAACGGAGAAGCAGAGAGAAGAGGAGCCCTGCACGACTAGCTCGACGGAGACAGCGGCTGTGAGGACCTCGCGAATATCGAACTTCCGGGAACGGGTAAAGCTCTCTTAACATCGGGATTTATCGGTCGATTTGGCGGCAAATATATTTTACACACACAAACTCCTACCATCAGTTCAGTGCAAGTCTTATGTTCATTATAACCTATGATGGATACAAGTTTTCCACATTCTATCATTGTATGTAATCGAGTATATTGTCGTTTGGTTGTGCGAACTCTGCTTTGTATTATCCTTATTCTTTGTATTATCCTTATTCTTACTGGCCCACGTGAGTTTTAATATTAAACAGTACGTAAACAATGTTTGAGAATTTTAAAAATATTGTCAATATTGATGAATTGACATGAAGTTCTGTACCAATAGAGTATAGTGAACGAATGATATTTCGATGTGTCAAATGTTGAGGCCCCAAAATCAACTCATAATTTTGAAGAAAGAACTGTAAAAAATTACACCATATTTGGTCGTATGAATTTTTATCTCAAGTGAGCCTCAATATAAAAGCTATCCGAGAATTTTTTTTCTTAGCCATCAGAACATTTTCTACTGAGTATAACAAACAAACATCCGCACGATAAAAGACATGAGTCAATGTTTCTGATAAGCATTAGGGATTTTTCCGCTTTCATATAGCGTAAATTTAGTCTACCGCTTTCTTTCCCTTGTATTTTATGATATCGTATATATGATTCCTTCTTACTTGTTCTATAGACGAGTGGACGAGTAATCAATCTCTGAACAAAACAACAGGATATTGGTAGGAGAATAAGGTGCTTGTCGTATTGAATCCAAAAAGTGCTTTGCAAAAAGTTGATTTTCAATATCGTGGAGGTCGATTTTCAACACCAAGGCATTCATGTAATTTTAATAGTATCAGCAGGAAGTGTCTTATACAGATAAATATAAGCTAAATTTATTAGAGTAAAAAAACATTTCCTGACACCTTTTTGCGAAGCAAACCTAACTCTATACCTTACGAACGTCAAAATATCCGATCAAATACGTTACGTGCTAGTTTTTCATTCTCTCAATAAATCCTCTTGCAACAACATTTCGACAGACAAACTCGGCTCAGCAAAGAAATATCACCAAGATGGTATCTTCGACGTTTCGTGTCAGAGCTCACTGTAGTCCAGAGACGAATCAATACATCCCTCGATAAAAAAAAGCCCGCCGAGTCGAAAAAAAAGACAGCCTACCTGTCAAACTTTTGCATCACCTACACCACTTCTCTCAAACAAATCACCCATCACATTTCGAGCTGCTCTCAACGTGTAAACGCACACCCGCGCAGATTAGATCGAGGCTGTCGTCGGCAGGCGTCGGAGTGGGCGGCCGGCTCAAGTCCTTGGTAAAGCGTCGAAGCACAATTGCCATAGAGTCCGAGCCAGCAACCTCCTGTTCGCTTGTACCTCCTCTTTCTGCGGTGACGAGTGTATCGTCGTCGTCGTCGTCGTTGTCTTCTACCACAGAGTTATGCACGGATAACGACCCCATTGACCAGGACGAACTGCAGACGCTAGTTGGTAATGTCTTATAGGATTTCGAAAGTTTTTTTACTGATTGTTGTTTTGCGCTTTCGAATGGTCTTTTCTAGTGATGGGGGAGCGCGATGAAATTCGAGGGTCGGGATGGATCTGATAATTCACAGTCATTTTGCGAATTATTTTTCGTTTATGTTATCCGCGCAGAGGCAACGGAAGGTGACGGTTCGAGCGCCGCGGAAATGAACGACGACATCAAGGCCCGGGAAAATGAGTCTGGCGAGCCATCGCTGACACCACCCCCGCAGCCCTCTTCGGGTAATCTCGTTGGGAGTGAGTATAATCTTGTTGATTCCGGAGCTTCTTTGTCGGTTCAGTAGTTTATTCGCCTGGCATCACATAATACTCTGAATTTTTTTTATTGTACCATTTTCAACTAGGACTATTTGGTTCCTGTGTAATTTACGTTAAAAGAAATAATTGTCAGGACTTTCACCTCTAAACTAAAAAACTGCGTGTTTTGATAAAAACTTATGAATGTACTTACACACATCATACTCTTAGAAGAAAAGTTTCAAAGCCATTCAGAACCAAAAAACGGGGAAATTAAGTATGTGCTTCATAATCACGTACTTTTAAGGAAAACTTAA